AATTATCTGCGATCACGTCAATGTAGGTAAAAATTCTGTCAAAAATTTCCTGTACTCGTGACTTTTTTCTTTTTGAATAATGTATGGATAAAATGTAGTGAAAAATTATGAAGTTTGGTGTAAATATTTTATTATATGAATGAATTTAAGAATGAGTGAGAATTAAAAGTTTTACTGGAAAGCAGGATTTATTCTGGAAGGTAGGAATGTCTTGAAAGACAAGGCGCAATATAGGTTAGCTCACTAAATACTTTGGTAGTTCAGTTGGAGAGGCGTTCGGACCTTAGTCAGTAGGAGGCACATCCCGCGGTTTAATTGATCTGTGTGAAGAGGGACCGGATCACAGACCCAAGGAATAGTCGTCGAAGACATATGTAGTAGACAAACCTTGATAAAAAAAAAATAAATAAATAAAATGAATTAAGAGTTGTTTTAAAGGTCCTCATTGGAAGCATATGTAGTAGACAAACCGTGAACGCGAGTTTAGTTCAGGATTACAGTCTAACAAGCACGAGACATACTGTTGAACGAGATTAAGTTCGGAGAAAGAATATTACAGTCTAACAATTACTACCATTGTAATTCGTATGCGTAGGAGAATCCCAAATATCAAATGGTTCAGATTGGTTCAAATTCTCGCTCGGGTGAGTACTTAGCAACATAAATTTGATTTACCCCTTTTCATAATTTCAACACGCTCGAATATCACTGTTTCTAGTTCAAGTAAAAATAAAAACAAAATAAAGAAGAAAGAAAACAAATAATTGTTTTTGAATTATGGGATATGTGTTTCAGTTTAAAAATTAAAGATTGAATCTATTTTTATACGTTTTGTGTTTCATTGTATTTTTATTCTTTTCATAATTTTCTATATATTATTTTGAGTAATTTGTGCTATTGAAAGCTAAGAATGGTAAATCTTCGTATATATTGCTATCACGATACTTTGCAATCGTATTGTTGCTTGCAGCCATTAGTAGACTCGAATATTTTTGTTGAAAAACAATATTTGTTTCTAACCTCGTAGTTAGTTTCTGTACAAGTTGTCAATTTATTACATATTTACTTTGTGGGTTTTGTTTCTTTTTTCTCTTCTTTTCGTTTTTTTGGTAACTTTTGTACTTTACTGGGCAGTGGTTGAACACAAGAGAGTAGTAATAGAGAGCACCCATGATGAGAAGCTTGTTGGGATATTGCATGAAATGGGCTCTCCCGAGCTTGTAATTATATGCCATGGTTTCCGTTCCTCGAAGGTTCGCAATTTTGATCTAGAAAATTATCTGTGCAATGTAAGAGATATAATTCTCAATTTTTTGTGTTCCATCCGCTTCTCAGGATCGAATTCCTATGGTGAACCTTGCGGCTGCTTTTGAAAAAGAAGGAATTAGTGCCTTCCGCTTTGACTTTGCTGGCAATGGGTATGTATTGAAGCTAGTTACTCATAATATAAGCAGTTTAACAACAAATCATATCTGTAATCTATCACTTATTCTTGTTCTCTTCCTAAATTGTTTATCCTGTTGAAATTTTATATTAATGATCATAAAATTATTCTTCCATTGGAATTGAAATTAGAAATTAGATGTATCTAGCTGTAAATGAAGTAGATATTCTTACTCTTATGGTTGCTTTTAGATTATCATGTTTTTGTTCTTGATATATGTCGAGATTAGGTACTGAAAACTTATAAATTTTTTGCTTCATAAAATGTAGTTCTTTGCCAGCTGCACGTGTTTCTTTCCTCTGGAAGCAGTTATATCGTAGAAAAAAATTCTCATGATTTTATTTTTTTCAACATTATTTCTTTGCTTTCACAGTAAAGAAAAGGGAGGTGTCTTAGATAGGATTGCTTCGTTACTTTCATTGTAAGTGAATATGTGATCCTATTGTGCATGACTCACTATTTCTTCTTTAAGTTTATTTAGTCTTTATCTATTGTCTCGTTCTCCTGAAAAATAATCAGGTTATCGTTTTTCATTTAGATGAAAACCCGAGTCCTTGGTTGATACTGATGTTTTATTCAATTTTCCATTTGCTTGGGTGACCGGAGGCAACATATCCACTTCTGTGTAATATTAATTATATTAGTTTCTCAAAGTTGTGGGATGCTCTAGGTTGTTACCTATACATTTTTTTCCCCAAACATTTTCAACAGAATTCCTGATTGCTTAGCATCAGACAATTTCCACTTTTACACACCTAAGATTTATTTTACTTTGTCTGCAAAATAAAGTGTAAACTTATGGTCTAGAAAGGGTTGGTACTGGCATGCAGGATTACTTGTAGCGTGCCGAAAAAAAACCTTTGGGACTAACACTCAGAGGTGGCCTTAAGTTCAATTGGGTTGATCTAACTAAAGCTAAACTATAACTGTGATAGGCACCATGTTTTCGTCTTCCCAAAGACATGACTTGTCTCTGAAAGCTTACGATGGGTCCAAGGTTTACCAAGTATCTTGTTCATTAATAAGCAGGTTCCTTGAAATTGCTTCACAAACATGCTTAGATCCTCCATTTACCCGAGACTTGTGGAGTTACTAATAAAGAAATATTCTCGACTTATCAGGGAAAGTGAAGGAACGTTTCAGTATGGTAACTACCGTAGAGAAGCTGAAGATCTAAGAGCCGTGGTCGAACATTTTCAAGGGGAGAAACGATGCATAGTGGCAATTATTGGGCACAGCAAAGGTGTGCTAGATATATCTCTGCAAACTGAACTTTTCGGTTTTTTCCCCCTTTTCTTTTCTTAGATTTTGTATTTTTTTCTCCTTTTTCAATTTTCATGAGGCTGGGCTTTGATGGGTGGGGGTGGGGATGTGTAGGACGCTAAGAGAGCTATGAGCATAGGAAATCTACGTGTGAGATTTTTGAAGTACTTACAAAAACTTTTAGAGTTCTAAAGACCATTCTTGTTTGTTCTATAAAAGTATTTTCTGTACACTTGAATTTTTTGTCGATTGAAATTATCTAATTTTATACTTCTCATGATAACATATAAATTAAGTGAGAATAATATTTTATTCCACTTGCAATCTACACATTGTGAATTCTGTAAACGCTCCGTGCTGCAGCCTACAATTACTTTCTGGGTGGTTTACTCTCAGGACCTTTTGATACATTTTCCACTTATCAGTTTGAAGAAAAATTCCTGTTCAAGGAAGTCTTCCAATTATTGCACAAATACAGTGTATTGTTTCACGTTAAAGAATTCTGCTTCTTAGAGCTTACAAGTGTCAACTATTTATGTTTATGCGAATGGACTTTCTTTCTGTGCTTCCTTTCCTAAAATATTGCCGTATGGCTGGATGACATTCTTACAGGAGGTAATGCTGTGCTTCTTTATGCTTCTTGGTATAATGACATACAAACAGTGGTAAATATTGCTGGGCGTTATAATCTAAAGAGAGGAATTGAAGGTCGCTTGGGTAAGGACTTCCAAAAGAACATTGAGCAAAATGGATTCATTGATGTTAAAAATAGAAGAGGTACGTATTATTTTTGTTTCACTGACATATCTGCATCACGTCAGTTAATGTTTTACTGCCAGTTACATAAATACTTTGCATCACGAACTTTCGTTTTCTCAATTATCTAAATATGTCCCATAAACGTTTCAAGATAAATAATGTTGAAAGGTACTTAGATTTATTTGCAACCTTTGAGGGGCCGCTTTTTACTTTCCATTCACTTGGATTTCTTTTGTTTCATCAATTTTGTTCGGTTCCTCTTTTTCTTCCGAAAAAAGGAAAGGAGAAGGATCTTCTTCGCGGGATCTCTCATGTTCCTATTTAGTCCCCTTCATTTCGGAAGTTAGTATAACTCTAACTATTACTTTTATACAAAGTCTTTTGTTTTCACCTTGGATTCTTGCTAAAGAAACCTAGTTCCAAATAAAAAGAAAATGGAATTCTTATTTTATGTGTAGAATTTCTAACTTTTTATTTTTAAAATTATATTTATTATTCTAAATTCTTTAGATATCTATATAAATTTCCTTTTATACGGATATTAGTGACATGTTTAGTACGGAAGACCGTACAAAACAAGGAGGAGAAAAGTTACAATTTTGTTCGTTATACCGTTCAGTTTTGTCCAGTCTCTTACATAACAAACCCGCATAAGAAGTTTTAAAAAACAGGTAGTTCTCATTTGCATATCTTTAGAAGGATTCATATGCCATATCTGTCATTTTTCTAGGGAAGATTGAATATCGTGTGACGAAGGAAAGTTTGATGGACCGTCTAGCAACAGATATGCATGCTGCATGTCAGTCTATTCATCCAAGCTGCAGGTTCGGAATAGCATCGGACATAGTTAGTTATTGATATATTGTTTATTGTGAATTCTAGTATTTCCTGTTCTTCATATATAAATGAAACATCAAATCAATTTACTTTGGCAGGTGAAGGCATCCAGTAATTCTTGTTCCTAGTATTTCTAGTATTGTCATTCTTATGTAGTAATAAGGGTTAACAAAATATTCGTACTTCTATGCACTTTTGCACGTACATACATGGTACAATGGATAATAGTTTAATTTCCTTTTTGTCCTTTAATACTGTCTAATACCAGATAGTCTAACTTAGCAAACATGTTAGCAGGGTATTAACCGTTCATGGTACGTTGGATGAATTTGTGCCTGTTGAAGATGCAATGGAATTTGCCAAATATATACCAAATCACAAGCTACAAATTGTTGAAGTAGCTGATCATGAATACACTTCACATCAAGAAGAATTGGCTTCTATTGTGCTGGATTTTGTGATGGCGAGTCTATATACAGACAAGTGTGTTCATAAAACATCGTTGTCTGGTTCAAAAACTGATAAATTCATCGATTCACGCCTTTGAATCTTGAATATATGTGAGCAAAAGATTGAATTGCACATTAACTTGAATGTCAAAAATATTATGAGGGTCTTTCGTCTGTATAGTTAAACTTTTAAACATGATAAGCATTAATGCTCGTGTGTTTGTGGTGAATCTTACAGTGTCAGTATAGCTTGGGGTGTACTTAGAAATTTTTCCAGTGGCGGTGATATTGGTAAAGGTAAAATAATAATAATAACAACATTATAACACAAACATTATGCTAAAATTGAAATACCTTATAATTGTTCTTCACGAGTTTTCATATTTTGATATTTTAGTACGATCACTTCATTATCAATCTTTAAGAATATATCCTTCTTCATGGAAGCAATAAAACTATCATTCATCCATTCATCTTCAATCCTATTGCTTAAATCTATGCTTCATAGTGCTATGGCATGAAATACTTTCCCCCACCATAGCAGTAGCAATCGGGAGAATTAGTGCCTAAGTATAAAGCTTGTAAGCCAGTAAATATACTCTACTCTTATTTGTCAAAACTAACTTCTGTGAGATAGCATTGAGGTCATTCAATTCTTCAAACTCTTTTTTAGAGAGGAAGTCAAAAGTGTAATTATTAAGTTGATCATCAAGGGTGAAAAGATGTACATTTGAAAAATCTTGTGGATAAAATTAAGCAAGTCGAACCAACTTTATTTTGTCAAAAGCAGAGAATGAATTTTGTGGACACAGACAAGCTACACAAAGAAGTAAATCAGTATTTACCTTCGAGAAACGATCATTCAATCCTTGAAGTTGCATATCAATAATAACATAAAACAAATCTACCCAAAAATGATGCAATTTGATTGTTTGTGGAGGATTATGATAAGGGTGACCACCATGTGCACAACTCCAGTGGTGCAAAGGACAAAAGTGAGATATACTCAGTCTCATTGGCAGTTACAGTGTGAGGGTTTGATTCCTGAAATATGGATTGAGATTCTTTGTGGGCACCAGTGTACTGTACAGGCAGCTCTTATTCCCTGGTCTGCTGGGGCACATCCTGCAATTAACCTCTCTCACGATACTCCAAGGGTGGAACGGTGGGGGACTCTTAAGGTTAGAGTTCAACCTTTATAAACATAGCATCCATGTTTGAAACATCAGTATAATGATATTGACAAAAAGATAAGACATGTTGCAAGAAAGAATCCCACCCATCATCTCTCAGAAGTTGGGTTCGTTTTAATTTTTTTAGCAAATTTTTACCATGTCCACTTGCAAGGACTTAATTCCTCTACAATGCCTTTGACAAATCTTTTAAAATACTCAAGACACTTCTCATTAAATGTAGATTAAATACAAAATCAAACGATTGTATTGACTTCAATACATTGAATGCATCACTTTTATTCACAAGAGCTAGATCAATCTTAAACAATAATTTCCGGTACATATTTCCATGACTGTTTTCACTCTAAAATAAACAAGTGGTAATTTAAGACGTGCCACATTCACAACAAAAAGAACAAGAGATGCCAAGAAAGAAAAACGTCTAAATTCTAATACATAAACGGGATTAGGCCTGAAATAGGTCACCGTCAATATACAAAAGTGGGTGTCACTAAAATTAATTCAAAAATTATATTCCCTAGAAAAATAATTCTTTAGAGTAATATATAATAAATAAAAAAGAAGCAGATGTCTGAGCCACACCATCAATTCCCTCCATAGTTTATCTTACAAAACAATCAAACCCATAGATTCATATCTAGAAGTGGCCGTGGGTTGGTTTGGATTGGGTCGAATTTTGATCCAACCTTAACCCAATCCAACATGGTCGATTTGATCAAAATTCAACCCAACCCAATCTGTTTAAAAATTGAATTCTATAACACCCCAAAATTTCAAAAATCTTGAAGTGTTACAAAAAAAATTTCTCTTCTTTATATTGAAGGTGAAACCATACATATAAATTTCTTGAAGAATAAAATAATTGAAATATCCAAAAACTTAAACTAAACATGAAAATAGTAACTTTAAAAAAATAAACATGTTTAAATAACTAATAAATTTTTCTTTCTTCATTCCACTTGGCAACCCATGTCACCATCCTGCCACAGAACCGATCGATTCACCCTAATTTGTAAAATTATTGTAAGAGTAAGTATTAAAAAATACCCAGTAAGATATGTACAATTTCCATAAACAATTATATAATAATAAATTAAACATTTCATGCCACATTTCTTATGGAGTACATTAGTAACTAAGCGATACACCCATTAGTAGTACTTTGAATTCTCGAAGGAACTTACATTTTGTTATGAAGAACTCAGTGGAGTTCACGTTCCGTTTGGTCTGATATTATTGATCGATTTGGGCGTATATGCAGAAATCTTTCTCATTATCATAGCGGATCTTCCAAAAAAAAGAGTTTGTATCGAATAAAGTATATATTTCGACTTTCTTGACTCGAAATGAGAGCAGGTTTGAACAAGATCACGTTCCGTTTGGTCTGATATTATTGATCGATTTGGGCGTATATGCAGAAATCTTTTTCATTATCATAGCGGATCTTCCAAAAAAAAGAGTTTGTATCGAATAAAGTATATATTTCGACTTTCTTGACTCGAAATGAGAGCAGGTTTGAACAAGGATCTCAGAGTGTCTAGGGTTGGAATTCGAAGGTCCACTAGCAATTCATATATATTTAATTGAATACATAAAAATATAGGAAAACAAACCACTAGCACAAAAAGTATCTTACTTAATTTATTTAAAGGTTGAAAAGAATAAAATCTTGCATGTAAAAATTCTACTAATAATTTTTCTATACTCTCTCTCTCTCTCTCTCTCTCTCTCTCTCTCTCTCTCTCTCTCTCTTTGTGTGTGTTTGTGTGCGCGCACTATGGCTCTCTTTTTATTTTTTTGATGAAAATAATGGGAATTCTTGCAGTATTTATAGTTGAAATTTTTAATTGAATTTGCAGCTAGAGTTAAAAAACTGTATAATACAAAGAATTTGAATAAGAATTGGCTTCGAATGGTAGAGTTAGTAATATACTCTATTGCTGGTTTCGTGATCTAATCATCCCATTGAAAATAGAATATGTGGACAACTTGGACTTGATTTCAAAAAGTGATATTGGAATTGTATTATACTATTGGTTTCATATAAATCACGTGTGGTAGGATTTAAAAGAGGAAATTTTTTTTACGTAATTAATATTGCAAGCCCTTATCAACTCTATTAAATAATTATTATTTTAATCGGAGTTAACTTGATGTAATCTAATTCAAAATAACATTTTCTTGTGTTGAAGACTTCTAATTAATTAGGAGCTACAAAAAGAGTTCGATATCAATACACTTATTTTTCCTCTATCAAAATCCAATTATTTGACCAAAATAAAAATAAAATAAAATTATTTCACTTTAATCCCTCAACATTCAAAATATACATATATAGCAAGCAGAATAAATAAATTTTATTCTATAAAATTTTCGAGGGGCTACAAATCTCAAATTAACGCAACCCAATCTACTCAAGTGTCAATCGTGTTGGGTTGGGTTATTTAGTTCGGAACGACCTATCAACAAATATTGAAGTCATCCAAATACTGTATTTAAGCAATATTAATATAGGCATCCAATATTAATAAACTTCAAAATTAAAATAGTATAGTACACCAAATATTCGGCAAAATAATTATCCAACAAGATTTACATATTTCATTACAAATTTACATATGGGGCAAAAAACTGTTGGCACTTGGTGGAAGCAAAAATCTATTGGCAGAAACGGTTGGAGGCTGCAGAAAAAGACAAATAAATTTGACTCAAAAGTAAGACACATCAAGTGAAGAAAAACAGCATCAGACGGTTAAATTGTGTAGATGTCTACCTGTTCACAACTTGATTGGCCAAAAACTATGCAAAAAACAGCATTAAAACCAGCTTAATTGAATACATAAAAATATAGGAAAACAAACCACTAGCACAAAAAGTATCTTACTTAATTTATTTAAAGGTTGAAAAGAATAAAATCTTGCATGTAAAAATTCTACTAATAATTTTTCTATACTCTCTCTCTCTCTCTCTCTCTCTCTCTCTCTCTCTCTCTCTCTCTTTGTGTGTGTTTGTGTGCGCGCACTATGGCTCTCTTTTTATTTTTTTGATGAAAATAATGGGAATTCTTGCAGTATTTATAGTTGAAATTTTTAATTGAATTTGCAGCTAGAGTTAAAAAACTGTATAATACAAAGAATTTGAATAAGAATTGGCTTCGAATGGTAGAGTTAGTAATATACTCTATTGCTGGTTTCGTGATCTAATCATCCCATTGAAAATAGGATATGTGGACAACTTGGACTTGATTTCAAAAAGTGATATTGGAATTGTATTATACTATTGGTTTCATATAAATCACGTGTGGTAGGATTTAAAAGAGGAATTTTTTTTTACGTAATTAATATTGCAAGCCCTTATCAACTCTATTAAATAATTATTATTTTAATCGGAGTTAACTTGATGTAATCTAATTCAAAATAACATTTTCTCGTGTTGAAGACTTCTAATTAATTAGGAGCTACAAAAAGAGTTCGATATCAATACACTTATTTTTCCTCTATCAAAATCCAATTATTTGACCAAAATAAAAATAAAATAAAATTATTTCACTTTAATCCCTCAACATTCAAAATATACATATATAGCAAGCAGAATAAATAAATTTTATTCTATAAAATTTTCGAGGGGCTACAAATCTCAAATTAACGCAACCCAATCTACTCAAGTGTCAATCGTGTTGGGTTGGGTTATTTAGTTCGGAACGACCTATCAACAAATATTGAAGTCATCCAAATACTGTATTTAAGCAATATTAATATAGGCATCCAATATTAATAAACTTCAAAATTAAAATAGTATAGTACACCAAATATTCGGCAAAATAATTATCCAACAAGATTTACATATTTCATTACAAATTTACATATGGGGCAAAAAACTGTTGGCACTTGGTGGAAGCAAAAATCTATTGGCAGAAACGGTTGGAGGCTGCAGAAAAAGACAAATAAATTTGACTCAAAAGTAAGACACATCAAGTGAAGAAAAACAGCATCAGACGGTTAAATTGTGTAGATGTCTACCTGTTCAAAACTTGATTGGCCAAAAACTATGCA